ACGAGTCGACGGGGTCTACCCGCCTCAATACGTTTTTGTCGTTCAAGGGCTTCCTTGTGGATTTCCTCTGTAATTTTTTCATACGGGACTGGAGGGTGTGGGATAACGGCGGGGTATTTAGGAGGGTCGAGGCCGAGTTCTTGATTCGTTTTAATGACTTCATTGAAGACAAAGTCATAGCAGTCGACCAATATAGTGAATGAGTCGATCACTAATTTAGTGTTTTCTATTTCTTTAGCGGATTCTTGTGGAGGTGCTCTGCATATAGTTGGTCCCAGACATGTCCCGAGGTTAATTGAATTCATTTGGTTTTCTTCTGTATGTTGTGCTACCAAATGGACAAATTGCATTAAGTACCATAACGTATTTTGATTGACTGGAGGAAGACTTTCAATCAGTTTTTTCATTTCATTTTGACGATTTTCACCTTCCAATTTTCCGATTTGAATAAAAGAAGTGTAACAGTTGAATGGAATAAGGGGGTTGGGAAGCTCGCGTAAATACTCTTTGATAATAGAAGATGCGACATCTGCGAGTTTAAACTCCGCAATTTGAATGTCTTGATCCCCATCAAATATTTGGCGCACTCGCCCCGTGTCTTTGTACGACGCACACATTCGAAAGATACCATTGGACAAATATCCTTGTGTTGTAGTTAAGTACTCAATGGAACGATACACAGGAAGAGGAAATCGCCAACCCGATTTGCTCACTGCACATGCAAGTGGATATTTATATGTTCCGTACACTTTCATTAAAACTGGAAGAGTGCTCATCCAGTCGTCATATTCACTTTGACTTGGACAAGTAAAGAGGTACACCTTGTCATAGAAAATTTCAAACGAAAGTTTCAATTTTTGCTTTGTCATCAGTTTATTCGTGCTATTAACTTTTGAATTGAAAACTGCAATACTTAAATCGATCTTAAAATGGGGTTTTGCACTGTTGTCAATTAAATACAATTGCTCGTCTTTGTAAGTCACAATTTTGATCTCACGTGTATCAAACTTCTTTCCATTTAAGATATCAACTGTGCCAACAGTCTTACTCCTATGTATTAGTTTTATTATTAATCAGTGTACTGTGTCTCTAACAAACATTTAAATTATGATATAATTATCAGTTCACACCTTCAGACCAGTTTTTTTTAATCTTTAATAATTGGGTTTTCTTATTTGGGGGATATTTTGCTATTTTTGTCTTGAAAAATGAGTTTTATGGACAAAATTTAGTGTTTTGTGTAAAGTTTTGTAATTTGTATTTTATACATCAGTCTTGTATTTCTCCAAAACAGAAGACAATAAGGACCAATTCGGGAATTACTCGATTATTTAATTTTTCAAAAAAAATGGTTGATTTTTTTTTGAAATGTGAATTTTTTAAATAGTAAATATACTATTTTAATTATTGAAAATTTTAACAAATTGTCAATTTTATTTGAAATTATCAAATCTTTTTAACCATTTCAACATAAATTGAAAAACAATCTCAAAATGGGTATTCAAAATGATTTATGTTTAATTTATTTAAGTTTTATTATATTAAAATTATTAGTAACCAATTAAGGGATAGTTTCTGTTTAAATTGCTCAACACGGATTTCAAAGTTATTATAAAAACCAAAGTACCAAAAATGCCTTTTGAAATGTTTTTATATAACAAAAATATAATGAAAAACATTTTTTTAACAATAATAATACAATAAAAATAAATGTTTTTTATTTTTTTTATAAATCCCATACAGTTTTTTAATTTAGCCTCATGGGAAAAACCTGCTTTCTGGTATTATTTTTCCATTCTTTCTAATATATAAACTAAAAATAAATTATTTATTTTATTTACTATTTTTTTATTTGTTCCATATCAATCTGAACTAATTTCAAATTATTGTATTAATAATTAACTATTAATTATAAAATTGTTAGGATTAAATTAATTATATATTAAAATATAATCCTAAAAGGAAAGGTTTTCCCATTAGACTAGATTGAGAAACTGTATTTATTATAACAAACTATAGTTTAGTTTGAACAAAATGTTTGTCATATAAAAAATATTATTTGATTAATTATAAATAAATAATTATTAACTAACCAAATAACAAAAAAAATGTACATAATACCCGAAATTATGTGCTCATTCAATGCTAATATTAATTTAATTATTTGTAATTAACCACTTTTTTAATGGATCTAAAAATTACAATTTTCATATATTTTTGTTTAATCAGCAATTTTCGTATTTTTTTACTCAAAGTTATAAAAGCCATATTAATAAAAAATAATTTATACCAAACATCCTTAAAAAAGATAAAAAAGTCGTCTCATTTTTTGAAATAAAGATTTATATATGGTAATATAATAGTTACAAAACCATATATATACTTCTGTTGACCATTTCTGGGAAATTATTGGATTGTCTGAAAGAGAGTAAATAAATTAGTGGAAATCTCGAAGAAAGACTTTAATAGAAGGAAACTCAAAAATTTGATGCTTGTTCTCCTCGTTCTATTTTCCACAATAGAAAAGGCACAAGCCATCTTCGAGATTCCCGGGTGTGTCGACAACTCGGACGGGGAGTTCACCTCCGAGGGCGAGTTTGATTTTGTCCCCGAGTTGGGTGTTGGTTCGATTATAGTTGGTATGGTCATTATGATAGGTACCGTCCTATCCGTGTTTCCGCAGTACATCAAGTTGTTACGAAAGCGTGACAGTAGTGGGTTGTCTCCCTTTTATTTGTTGATACAATTTATTAATCAAGTCACTGCTGTTGCAAATGGGTGTATCACAAACGCGACATACATCCACTCATGTGTCTACTTGGGGTTTAATGGTTGCTTTGGTGTGTTAATTTCATGGATCCAAATAATGTTACTTGCTATGGTGTACCTCCCACAAATTGTGTTTTACTTGGTCTTCTTCCCAGACAAAAAGAATTTTTCGTTGTTCAAAATCCCACTGTACACTACTCCTGTTGTTGTTTTCATTTCGTTGTTGATCTTCGGAACAGTGCCATTGCTTGAAATGACTGATGGAGAGTGTGGCGAGTGGACCAGTGGCATCGGATTCTTATATGGCATCATATGTACAATCTGCGTGTTCATTCAATGGTCGCCTCAGATCTATATGACATTCAAACGGAAAAGCGCTGGCGCGTTAAGTGTTTTGATGATGTCTATTACGGCTCCCGGAATGGTCATTTTGACAATTTATATGATTTTCATCACCAAACAATCGTTCTCGACTTGGTTGTCCAATGCTGCGTCTGCCATTCAGCAAGTCATTCTGTTAACTTTATTGATTTATTACGAATTCATCAAGAAAAGATTCTGTCCCAAGAAAGACGAAGAGAGTGAAATAAAGCCATTATTGGGCGACAAAACGACACAAGAAAGCGAATCTGACAGTCAATGTGAAAAAGTGCCGGATGTATTAGGTGAAGCGATCCCACCCCTTGATGATGGTGAAAAAGTCTCGGACCGAAAGATCGAGGACACAGAACAAATCATTACGCCACTCAATTGATTTGTTGCGTACATTAAGTATTATTAATTGTCCTTTTCATGTTATACTGTTGATTTGTGTTGCCATTGGAAGTCTTTGTGTGTATAAAAAATCTAATAAAACAGATCAATTCACGATGACAAGCGGCACAAACGTCGTGTGAGAACTGAACGAAGTTCTGTGGTCCTGGAAATATCTCGTGACAGAGTCGACGATGTTCACTTTAGAAGTTGACACAACAAACCCAATGTTATATTGGTTTCCATCTAATATGATCCCATCACATTGGACATCGTCAAATATGTGTAACAAAGCCTCGTGATATAGTTTCCCATTACTCAAAGCTTGTTGATTCAAATCTATTCGTTTGGACGAGCCATTTGTCTTGATTGTGAGCGACTCGATTTTCCGTTGCTGTGGGATATCGTCGTTGACTATATTTCTCTTTGAGCGACCCTCTTTGATGTCGACCAAATTGTTGCTTTCAATCAACTGAATGACCGTGTTGACTGTTTGGTTAGCAACAAATTGACGTACCGTCCGCTTTGAATTCATCTTGCTTTTCCCAATGTTCATTTGTTTGGCTTGCTCGAAGATGGAGTCGCGATCAAATACACAAGACCCGGATTCATCATAGATTTGGTAGAGTTGAATGAGTGGTAATGTTTTAGTTTTTTGTTTCTTGGGCTTTTCTATAGTGTTATTCCAATTTTGAGGTATTCTTCAACTCTTGAAAAGGCAGTTGGAAGTGCTTTGAATTGTAATGTGCTCAATTACAGCAATTTTAAAAGAGTAAATAACATTGAAAAAGAAACCTAACAGTAAAGTGAATCCAAGTGTTGTTAACATAGCAAAATACAACGATTGAATCCCGACTCTGCGATCAACACTCTCATATTTCACTTTCTTCAGCACGTCCTTGTCTTTCTTTTGTCGAGTCTGACAACTACTCTCGTCTTTCAAACTCATTCAAACTAATGAGTTCCATTTTAAGATTTAGGTTTTTGTTCAAACTTTTGATGATGTTGTGTTTTCAAAAAGTATCACTTATTAATTATTGAAAGGTATTTATTATTTCAGTGGGGTACTTGAATAATTTCAATGACTTCTTACCATAATTTGAATAGAAAAAAAGAGAAAAAAAGGATGCAATGTGGTGTGAATTATTATTAGGGTATATAAACTGTATCTCAACTTGAAAATTCAACCCTCCATGTCGCAACAAGACCAACTCAAACAATTCGCCGCACAATTCGTCTCCGTGTTTTATAACTCTTTCGACACAAATAAGGCGAACTTGGCGAACTTTTTCCAACCAATGTCGACTCTGACATTCGAGACTAACACTATCCAGGGCGCACAAAACATCCTTCAACATATCCAAAACCTCCCTTTCAAACAAACACAACACCAGATTGCTGTCTTGGACGTTCAACAAGTCCCGGGTTCCGTCCCAATGTTGTTCATTAAGGTTATTGGCCGTTTGACCATCGACGGAGAGAACCCCCTTCTCTTCACAGAGTCCTTCATCTTGACTCAAGCCAACAACAATTGGTTTGTCTTGAACGACATCATGAGACTCGCAAACATCTAACTTGTCTCTTTTTATATTCATTTTGCTGTTTTGTTTTATTCTTCTTACTGAGTGGAATTCACTCGACTCTTCTCTTGAACCATCGAGCATTGTTCAAGCGACCACGTTAAAACACTTTTTTTATATATCAAACAAATAGGGAATACAAAACAATACAAGAATTAACAGTGGCGTCACACTTGGGAATCATCAGAGAGACTGGAGAGTCTGTTTGGCTTGGGGGGAAGTGGTTTGAAGCGTTGGTGAGCCAATCGCCTATTTGCAGAATTGGTTCGGATCGGCGGTGTGTTTCTCACAATTCTCCCCGACCGCGCTTCAAAGATGTCTTTGAATACACTTGGCGGGTTAAGCACTTCTTCAAGTCGACTTTCAATGAACTTCATACTGATTTGCTTCACGTCAATATCATCACATGTATTTTGAGAAGGAGTCCTGACTACTTCTACTTGAACGGAAGAGTTAAAGACAAACGGGGAAGATGTCATTAGCACAGACTAACATGTTTGTGAACGCTACAAACACGTGTTGATGTGGTGTTTCGATGTAATCGCCGTTCATAGGTTTGTTTCTTATTAAGCCGGGAGCTGTGCAAATGGCCAAATTTTTGGGAGACATTTTGCTAGTTGGATTTTTACAAATTTGCAAACACAACGCAACAAAATGTTCCAAAAACGTTTTGTTTTCTGTAGGCACCGAATTGTATAACGCGCGAAACTTCATTTTCCACATCGCCAAATTTGTCCCGGTTTGGCCCGTCATTTCGACAAGTTGGTCGTACAACGAAATCGGCCAAACAGGACTTGGTGCCTCTCTTAAGTACTTTTTGAGTATAGCAGCGATCAAGACGTGATCCATAAGACGACAATCGACAACACCAAAGTATTGCATATATTGCTCCATCTCATCTTTGCCAGCACATTGTCGAAACGCGCCTTCCATATCTCCTTTCTCAAAGTACATTTTATACATGATTTTCTCAAAATAGAGGGGAAGCAGTGTCGGGGGGCGTTCTTCAAACTTCACCAAATCGGTGACGGGTAACATGTACTCGACGTTAAGTAACCGTTTCCTTTCATTGACTAGTCGATCGGCAGACGATGTGAATGGTCTTATTTTTGCGTCGTCTAATAACACTTTGATGTCATCGCTCTCCCCAAACGTTTTAATCACACGCAAAAACTCCTCCAAACATCGATATGCATGGATGTTGAATATGGAATGGAGTTGTTGCGTTTTGATCTTATCAAAGGAACTGATCAACTCCTCCCAGTCCCATGGGTTTTTCAGTTTTTCACTGAATTTCCGATACTTGTCTGACTAGGTGTTACTCCTTTTATACTCAACCAATACCTTTTGTTGTACTAAACTCACATTCAACTTATTCTAAATTGTGTAGAACAAACCAAAATTGTAAATTGGGACCTTACTGCAATGTTTGCATTCAAACTTAATGTGACAAGTGAGACAAATGACCCCGGTGTGTCGTTCGTTGGAAACTGTTCTAAAAACCCCTCCAATGTATTCTCAAGCTCTAAAAACGTGTTTTCAACTGTTTTCAAAATGGTGCCTATAGCAGACGCTTTCTGTGCAAGTTCGATGATATTACTGTACAGGTTTTTGTTATACAAAGAAATCAAATTCTTTGTGTCCATTCGTCTTCCCTTGAAATTATTCAGTTCGTTCCTTCTCACTCTTTGCTGTCTATTTTTTGGGGTTATTTCTCACTTGTTTCCCTTCGAAAATTCAAAAAAATTGCTCCACTCAGAACAATATGTATGCTATTTCTTAGTATAGTTTTCTATATTATAACTATTTCTATTATTTAATAACCTCTGAAACCAAAATACTCATGACTTTAAAAACTGTATCATTGTTCTTTAATACTTTGTACTATATTATTAATACATTATTCTCTCTCATCTCCCTTTTTTAAAAAATCTTAGGCAAAAATCAAAAATGCCACTCTCACATTGCAACTTTTCTCTAAAATATGGAGTAAACCAATGCAACACTCGAAGAAAACACAATAACAGACACAACAAACAACTCACTTTTTCTTCTTTTCTTTCTCCTCCTTTTCTTTGCGTTTCTTTTCCTCCTCTTTTTTCTTTTCCTTCTCCTTCTTCGCTTTTTCCTCTTTCTTTTTCTCCTCTTCCTTTTGCTTTTCCTTTGCTTTCTTCTCTTGTTCTTTGTCCTTTTCTTTCTGCTTTTTCTTCTTCTCTTCCTCATCTTTTTGTTTTTCTTTTGCTTTCTCTTTGGCCTTTTCTTCTTTTTCCTTTTGTTCGTTTTTTTTCTTCTCGGCTTCGGCTTTCTCTTTTTCAATTTGTTTCTTTGCGTCATCTTTGGCTTTCTGTTTTTTGACTTCTTCTTCTTTCTTTTGCTTCTCAAGGTCCGCTTTTTCTTTTTCTTTCTTCTTCTTGTCCTCTTCCTCTTGTCTCTGTTTCTCACGTTGCTTAGTAGCCTCTTCCTCTTTCTTTTTCTTGTCTTGCTCTTCCTTCTCTTTAGAAATCGTCTCAAGGTCTTTTGTCTTGTCGTTACTCTTCTTGTCCTCTTGAACTTCTTTTCGTGGTGTTTTTGGTTTTGGTACGTCAACTTTCTCTGTTTTTTCTTTACTTTCTGTGGTCGTTGTTTTGCCACTGTTTTTATCATTTTGCGGTTGGACTTGGGGTGTAATTGTTGTGACTTGTGGAGGTGGGTTCTTTGGTAATTGAGACTCAATAGAGACTTTCAAATTGACATAAGGAAGCACTTGTGCAAACGCAAATCTATCAAAGACATATCCCAACGCCCATCCTCTTATATCAACAACAACGTATATTTCGATGATTGATGAGACATTGATAACATCATCATACAAACAAAGACCAATCTTCTTGTATCCTCGGACTTGATTTGGATCATACACATTTGCTAGAGTGGAATTCACACTTGAACTCACTTCATAGTACTTTCCTTCGCTTTTGTATTGGACTAAGACATACACAAATTCACGAGGATATGCCATCGCAGCGTATGTCAGTGTTTGGACATCTCTTTTAAGGCTGATATCCTCGATCATCAATAAAGTTTCTCCCTGTTGAAGATTTGGGTTCAATGACTTCATTAAAGGGACATCTTGTAAGTCCTCGGTTAATTTGAGTTTACTTTTCTCAATATGAATAACATATTTATAATAATGTTGGTCGTTCTCTGTGGGAAGGGTATACGACTTCATAACATTTTCTTGTGATACACACTCTACCCAACTTTTTTTTGAAATTTGTCTCATCCACATTTGTGTTGGTTTCAACATGTGGTCCAAGTCCTGCTCAGTATCAATTAAAGGGATGTCTTCTATTTCAACTGTCATAGAAATGTAAATGAGTTCTTAAAAAAAAGTAGTAAAACTTTTCTTCATATTGCAATTGGCCAATGTTTTCGAATAAATAAAAAATTATTCGTTCTTTATTTCTTCAATATACAGTTCCAACTTTTTGAATCCTTTCAACTCTTTTTATTTCCTCGAACATTTCTTTCCACAATTCGATTTTGAATTGTGGAAAAAATATTGATTATCCCAACAAATAAGAACAACTCAAATATATAGTAAATAATAGCTCCAAATGCCGAATTTGGTATCTTGTATTTCACTGTTATAAAATGTGGTAAAACAAATAAATGAAACCCCAATGTAACCCTATTTTTAAAAAACAGCAAGTATTATAACAAGCTAATATAAAGTTATTAAATAAACTATATATTTTAACTCCTTCAATTAGTTTTTCTTGCTTTATTTATTAAGACAGAACACATGTTATGAGCATTTTCCTTTTTGCAAAAGAAACGGATGGAGAACTCTAAAAAGTGAAATGCTTGTGTGTCTCCTTCTTTTGCTTGGCAACGCGCTTGCACGGAATTACTACGAAATATTGGGAGTGACAAAGACGGCCACTGCAAGTGAATTGAAGAAGGCATATCGATCTCTTTCATTGAAATACCACCCCGACAAACCTTCGGGCGATAAGAAGAAATACGAAGAGATCAACAAAGCGTACGAGGTACTTTCTGACGACAAACAGCGACGTATCTACGACCAAGGTGGTGAAGAAGCCATTAAAAATCCGAATCGAAATGGGTTTGGTGGCGGGTTCAACCCGTTTGAAGACTTTTTCAGAAACAACCAACAACAGCAACAGCGTCAGCAACGTCTTCCGGATGTTGAGATATCTCTCGACGTCACATTAGAAGATTTGTATAAAGGAAAAACGTTTGAGGTTTTACATAGAAAGAGACAACTGTGTCATCACTGCCACGGTACTGGTGGAGATACTGCTGACGATGTTAAAGATTGCCCAATCTGTCATGGCACGGGTATGAGAACAGAAACGAGACAATTTGCGCCAGGGTTTGTTCAAAACATCCAACGACCATGTGACCACTGTGGGGGGAAAGGCAAGATCTATGGCAAAAAGTGCCACGTCTGCAATGGGAAGAAAGTCGAAGAAGGGGAGACAACCATTTCTGTGACGATTAACAAAGGGATGCGTGACGGGGAGGAAATTCGATTTGAAGGGTTTGGCGACGAGAAGCCCGACTTCGACACGGGAGACGTTGTCTTCAAAATCCGAACGATTGGAACAACCATTTTTACACGACGGTGGGACGATTTGAAGACGACCATTCACGTCTCTTTGAAAGAATCCCTGTTAGGGTTTGAGAAGAACATCACACACTTAGATGGCCATGTAGTGAAAGTGAAGAGGACCGGAATAACACCGTATGGCCATACTATTACAGTAAAGGAGGAGGGTATGCCAATCAAAAGAAAGGAAACTAAAGGTGATATGCTCGTTGAAGTTATCATCGAC